AATGTTCATAAACCTCATGAACTAGGTGTGTAGGCCGATGTTGGATCATTCATTGATCATATTTATCGATGATATATTGGTGTATTCTAAGACCAATGACCAACATGAGGGCTACTTTCAAGAGGTACTTGAGACTTTAAAGAGGGAGAGGATTTATCCTAAATTCTCCAAATGTGAGGTTTGGTTGCATGAGGTTCTGTTTTAGGGACACCTCACAACCAAGATGGTATTTGGTGGATTTAGATAAGATAAAGGCAGTGCTAAAGTGGGAAGTTCTGAGGTCTCCACTTGAGATTCAAAGTTTTCTTAGTTTGGATGTGTATTATAGGAGATTTATTCAAGACTTATCCAAAATTAATGTGCCATTGACCAGTTTGACAAAGAATGGTGTTGTTTTTTGTTGGGGTCCTGAGTACCAAAGAACATTTGAGATTTTGTGAAAGAAGTTATGTGAGTCTCAAGTATTGAACCTTCTTAAGGGGGTTGATGATATGGTAGTTTATTGTGATGAATCTATCATGGGATTCAGATCCATTCTTATGCAATGAGGTTAGGTGATCGTTTATGCCTCAAGAAAACTGATGCTTCATGTGGCTAATTATCTGAAACATGACTTAGATTTAAGAGAAGTGGTCTTAGTTCTCAAGATTTGAAGACACTCCTTATATGGAGTTTGGTGTACCATTTTCATAGACCATAAGAGCTTGAGGTACTTGATGGATCAAGCACATTTGAACATCAAGCTACATAGATGGTTTGATGTGGTGAAGGACTATGATTGTGAAATCCTTTATCATCCAAGCAAGGCCAATGTGGTGGTTAATGAATTGAATCGGAAAAAGATTAGTGCACCTAGTAAGGATCCATGTTTGAGAATGATAGTGATTACTCCCATTCTAGAGATGATAAAAAGGTCCAAGATGAGACAATCAAGGAGTAGAATTGTAAATGTGAGAGAATCGTAGGACAAAGTTTGGCTTATGACATAGATAATCATGGTTTGCTGACCATGTATGGCAGGGTTTGGGTGGAGACCGATAGAAACCGATGGATGAGGCACACAAGTCAACATTTTCGATTCATCTAAGGGTTACAAAGATGTACAAACCTAAGACACAATTATTAGTGGTCCTGCATAAAGAGGGATTTGACATGGTACGTCGAAAGGTGTTTTACATGTCGAAAAGTTTAAGTTAAGCATTCGAATCTCCATGGAAAGTTGCAGCCTCTTGATACCCCGATATAGAAATAGGAGCAAATTATCATGGATCTTATCACTAAACTACCACAGACTCCTTATGGTGTAAATACCATTTAGGTGATTGTCGACAGATTGATCAACAGAGCCTACTTTATGCCTATCTAAGAGAGCTCCTCAACTAAGAAGATCAAAAATATTTACGTTGGAGAGGTGGTTTCTTGGCACGATATAGCGGTTTCAATGGTCTCTAATAGAGCTGTGTGTCTTACTTCCAAAATTTGGAAGAGGTTCCATGCTGACCCAAACTATTAAAACTCAACACAACTTATCATCCTCAGATTGATGGATAGAGTGAAAGGAAAATTCAAACTCTTGAGGATATGCTTTGGGCATCTCTACTTGACTTCGGTAGGGATGGGATTCATATTTATCGTTGGCAGAGTTCTCTTACAACAACAACTTTCATGCTAGTATTGTTAGGCCTCCCATTTAGCATGTTTTAATTGAACTATATATGCAACTATTTTGGTTAAATGATTATCGTGGCTTTGCCCTTTAAACCGCATCTTGACTGAAGCAAACCATGAGACATAGCTAGTTGATCCGAATATTTTTTTTCCTCTAGTTATTGAGTGTGTACCAGGGATAATTAAATACAGTAAAGTTGTACTTGTTGGTGGATTTAAAACATTGCCCATGGTGATTCAAAAAACTAGAAGAGAAAGAATTAGAAACTAAGGTTTTGGTAATGGTGGCGACACGTAGGCGGTTAGGGTATGGTTGTGGCGGCACATGGTGGTGTCAAAAATAGGGATACAACAGACAAGGTAATGAATGTTGGAAGGAGATACACAACAAGTATGAGGAGCGCTATGGCTCTAATATATCGGTTGAAAAATGCGAGAGAAATATTAAGTATTATATTCATATCGTGAACGATACAAATAGATAGACATGAAGTTAAAAACCTAAGAGCTTGTACAAAGATGGTTTGTCTTATTCTAACAGTTATTAATCAATGAGCACGTTACATTACCTAGTAGTTGTATTATACTGGGAAAAATGAAAATGTTTTGATGAGAAGTGAATATTGGGTACTATAAATAAATTTGAGGGTAATGTGGAAATGAATAGAAAAGCTAAAGGAATGTTGCTATTAAAAGGAGTTTCTTGTGATAATTAGGGATGAGCAAATGGACCGGGGAACCGGCCGGAACCGGAACCCGATGGAACCGGTCGGGTCGGGACCGGGACGTTATTTTTGTGGATTTTTGGAACCGGGAATCGGTAGGAACCGGAACCGATATAACCGGAACCGGTAGAACCGGCAAAAACCGGAACCGTATTATGCTATTTTTCAAGGACCGGTTCGAACATTTGAAGACACGACAAGAACCGGTAGGAACCGGGAACCGGTAGAACCGGAACCGATAGAACCGTCGGGCCAGTTCGGTTCTTGATTTTGGCCGAAGCCGGTTCCCGGTTCCGGTCCGGTTCGGACCGGTTCCAGCTAGTTCGGTCATTTTGCTCATCCCTAGTGATAATAATGTAAATATCACATAGTTGAAGGGATTCTTTGTAATTTTGTGTTGATATATATTATTATATAATGTCTTGTTTTATAGGGGTTAGTAAGATAAGATAAAATGTTCAATAAGAAACACAAAATATATTCAACCGTTCGTTAAAGAGTTGATTGCTATTAGTTCTTACTTTTCTAGATCTTATCTGTAGAGATAGTTCTTGTTCACATATGTATGTGAGTGGTATCGATAAGGTTAGTATCTTTAATCTTTTGTATAGCTTAGAGTGAGATTTCTGAATGTAATTAAAAGTATTCTAAGGATTCTTGATCAACAAAAAAGTTCTTTCCTGAATCCGATTGAAATCCTGTTTTTTATCTAAACATAATCCCATATCATTAAAAGAGAAATTTGACGCTAGAATATAAGGCGATGAATACTCCATTCTATTGTCAGTTGGTTTTAAAAAATAGAACCTCATGCAATTTCATATTTTGATAATTTTGAGCGTCTCCCGTACCAATTGAAACTTTATGAGTAGTTTGGTAGTTCACCAGCATTATTACAATGTCAATTTGATGACAACATATTTTAAGATTAAAAGTGACTATTTTACAAAATTTTTTGATTGGTAATCAAACAAGTTGGTATCAGTCAAATAAAATAATGAATCAAGCCACAAGCCACATGAAGAACATCGACCAAAGGGTGAGTGATATAGAAGCCAAACCATAAGACCACAACATAATCACTGAACATTCACTCTCACCAGCTCCAAATAACTGTGTTATCGTACCTACCAATAAAGACCATTTTAAAAAAATTCACAACTTGTCATCATTATTCATTATTCATTATCCAAGAAAAACAAATAAAGAAATTTCAAAAACATGCAATCGCATATGTCATACCAATGTTCATCGCAGGTGGAAGCGCAAACTGTAGGAGAAGAACAAATAGATAAAGAGGATCTGCATGCACTAAGCCCACATAAACAGCTCCCTTCACGATTAAAATGCCAAAAAGTGGCAACACAACTAACCGAACTGTTACAATTCCAAACACAATTGGTAACGAGACACGAGATGATCCTTTCAAACCTGCAAAATGCAAATTGTGTCTACTAATTTCAATCAACTGAATACATGAAAACTCAGTTATATAACAAATCTAAGTTTACTTACCTCGTAAGAGGTTAGCACCCAAAATCAATGTAGTAGTTGGGATTGCGGCATCCCTGACACATGGGAATAGGATCCATTAGTGTTAATTAACTAAGTTTCTTTTGTTGTGGATTCCATGCATGATTCCATATTATAATCCGACCCACAAAATGAAGAGAAATTCATGACACCTACTAAATGAAAAATCTGGACATAGTTTAAAAGACTATACCCTACTAACGATGCAGAATCTTGTATCACCCGAAGAGGAGCTGTAGTGCCTATTAATAGCCTGCGAATTGGCGCGATTGTTCCCACAATGAAACCCACAATCTTTATGATTAAAAAGAAAGAAATTGTTATGTGTGTGCATACCTTCCAGGTTAAATAGGACAATAAATATGACAAGTGTAACTTTAACTCTATTCTTTGTGTACATGAATAGTATTACTATAGTTTTGGAGTAATTAATAGTATTTATTGTTTTGATATAGAAAATAGAGCATGTTAACTCTAGATTTTACACCTAAGATAGAGTTGGATTGGAAATGTAGCTTTAAGGGTTAGTGTATACCGCTCCATTGGTTGATGGTGCGAACAACACTTTTAAATTAACCAGTCTTGAAATATACCCCAAATGTTGCTTCATTCTATCTAATACCTGATGCACATAACATTTTAAATTTTTTGTAAGTTCATATCGGACATTATGGATCACTCCATTGAAAGCAAAAAACAACCTTCACTGTTCCCTTCTTGTTACCAGGAATAAGTGAAGATGATTGAAGCAAGGTTTCAGTCAAATCCTCTTGTATGATTACTGTCTCTTCGACAACAGTGTTGCTAGTATCTTGGGAATGACCCGAGAATATCCGTACTTGGTTGTACACATAAGTCCACAAATATATGGCTCCAATCTGATGAATGTATATATGTTGTTATGATATATAGAGTTTAAATTAACAAATAATCACCTAGAAATTTTCAATGTAAAACTACATACTGCCAAAGATAATGAAGCATAAGCCATGGCATACTCATGGCAAACATCAGGATCACCAAAGGGACTTCCTTTCTCTTTGCATACAGCTGGGATTATAATCAAAGGCAAGTTTCCCATGTTTCCTATCATTCATAATCAAGAACCAAAAATTTAAAAATTTGTCAACTTATAGGAGTTTATTTATTTATGCTCTTAATATAAAGTAATATATATTCATCAGGATGCAAGCAATTTACCAGCTGCACATGCACCTAGGATGAGGCCCTTTAGATGTTTCGGTGGTTTAGTGATTATCAAAAGCACCCATCCAAGTGCTGACCCAATTATGAATGTAATAAGAATATTCAAAGGCATAAACCACCTGAAGTTTTTAATTAACAGTTAATCTTCACACAGCGACAACAGAATTAAGAACCCATTGAAGAAAGATTACATAGAAATGATGCTTTCGAGAGTGATTGTTCTAGCAAGATTGTTGCCCACAAGTGCTGGATTGAACACAAAGAACACAATCTGATCAAATAGGAAGGAGTATTATGAGTTTCAATTCAGAAAATCGTATCTTTAATCATAGAAATTTCTTTAATCGGCAAAGACTAAAGAGAGACTCGAAATTAGAGCCATAAAATCAAAATCGTTGTATACTAGTCCAATGATCACAAAAATCGAATCTTTAATCAAATTGGCAACTTTCTTGAACATGGGCATTTGAATTCCATAATATGAAAAACTGAATCTTCCATTAAACTACCAAGATTTTGTACTATTAGTAAGCTTAAGCAAAAATGGACCCCAAAATGTACGGTGGACTAACCCTAAAAAGCAATACCGACTTGTACATTACAAGTCAACAATGCACAACCGACGATCTCTAACTTAAATTGCCGGCGTATGCTTTCTTGAATAACTAAAGCGGAGTTAAAAACTTACATTATTGACTTGCTTCCTTGTACTTTGTCCCAAGATATCAATAGAATCCAGTGCAAGAAATGCGCCAAGTGCAGTAACTATCAGAACCTTGAGAATAGGCATAGAAGCAGCAGAAAACAGATCCAGAAATCCCATCTGTAAAACAAACTGTTTTCAGAAATCCCAAAAAAAAAGAAAAGATATAATCAAAATCTGATTACAATTATGAAGTCAAAGAACTGGTGTATGTAAAGAAAGTGAAGAAGAAATAGGGGATATAGTGATCTGAAATTTTAGGGAGCGTTATGATATTAAAAGAAAACAAAATACATGCATGTGCAAAACATGAGTAGAGATATTGAAACTTCAAGAAAGCAATCGGTTATATTTTATTGATAAAATCGTGAAAGCATCTGCACAACAAATTAAGGGAAAAAGATTGTTACCTCAAGAATCAAGATGGTGTATTATATTTATTAAAGGCGGTTCTTTTCTACAAATTTAGAACTGCTAAGTGTCAAATCTGCAACAAAAAGTTGATTAACTTAAAAACGATAGTTAATATGGAATGAGATATGAAACAAATATTCCTTTGGTTTTTTTGGGAACTCGCCCCTCATGGATGGATGAATTAAGAATCAGAGACAAGCTGACATCAGGGTTTGACGATTTAGATTCAAAGAAATTATAGTTCAATTCTAACTTTTTAGTGGGAGATAAAAGACGAAGAATCCACAATATTATATTATAAGAAAACAAGAATATTGAAGAGATCAAACTTCACAGGATATGATACGATTGCTGCCAACTTATTTAAAATATAAGAAAACAAGAGTGAAAAGATCAAAGTTCAGAGGATATGATACGATTTTTGTCAACTTATTTCCAATATAAGGAAAAAAAGCATGAAAAGATCAAACTTCAGAGAATATGATACGGTTGCTGTAACTTATTTGCTTATTTTCTCGATATTTTATTTATTTGTTTTTGTTGTTTTCTTCTGTCTGTTATGGCCTTATGTATGGGTATAGTTTTATATGGATCACATTGGATGCACATGGAAAACCTCATGGCTAGAACCGGTGTACATTTGAACCGGTATATATATCAGACCAGTATTTTGAATAACCATTTCAATTTTAACCGGACTTCATGTTTTTTTACTAGCTAGCCGTTATATAACATGCAGATTCGAGAAAACGGCTGTTTTGGCCTATTTCTAGCGGTTTATTGCAGTCTTATGCCCCTCTGGTATTATAAATAGGTGTTGATTCATTTGGTTTCAACACCTTGCAAAAATATCCTTATTGTCAATGTTTTTTACAATTTCGATCCTTTTTCTTGAAATGACATCCTCTCAAGCTTTGGCTTCCGTAGGAACCGCGACACCTTCAAAAAACTATACCGACCACACTATAATGGAAATTAAACCAACAATATGAAAGAAATACTTAGTAGCAAAGGCTCGGTGCAAGCGATGTTGGAAGTATTATGCAGCTGCTAGCAATTCTACTTTAAATACTCATAAAGATAGTTGACAATGTTTTTTACAATCAGACGATACAAAATGCCATCAACTGACTAACACCTATTTTACTTGTAGAAAAATACCGATAAAGATTTGTGCTTCTTGCTAAAGATTTGTGGTGACCATAACATACTGCATGACTGATCTATTATGAATTCAGTCTAAACATAGCCATGCATTTGATGTCAATTAGTTACGAACAATGTTCGAGAACACCAAAGCACAACAAACTGCAGATCAAATGATCATGCATCTCCGTTTGAAGAATATAAGATATTACTATCTTTTAATTACTTGTGAAAGTTTCCATTAAGTAATCTCTAAATGTAGGTTATTCCAATACTTAATCTCTATCAAGTACATATGAGTATTAGTTACATCTATATGCTATGTCCATCTCCATGGACAATTTATTAATACCTCATGCTAGTCGTGAATCGCTACTTACTTTCAGAAGTATGTCCGACTATCGAGGCTTTGAATAATTTTACACTAAGGAAGTCAAGTAAACGTAAAAATGGAACATAGTAATCAACTAATGAAAATGATTGCACCCATCATACATTAAGATCTTTACATAATAATCTTCAAATCAGATAAAGATTTATTGTAACAGCCCGAAATCCAGGTAAGCTTTATGACCCTTCTATTTTGGAGAGTTGGCAAATTAGTCCCTTATAGTTGAAAGGTGGATTGGTGAGTATGCTGGGCGTACTGGGGTGTACGCTGCGCGTACTCACGCGCTTAAATTGAACGCAGACTCACCCGGGTACGCTGAGCGTACGCAGGGTTTACGCTGGGCGTAGCGAGCCCATATGCAAACCCTAATTTCTTACTTTTGCACTATAAAAGGAACATGTAGTCCTTTGCCCTAGCCACCATATCCACTTGAGTGAGTCCTCAGAGAGCTGAGATTCGTGCTTTAGCTTGTGTGTGTGTGTTGAGCTTGAAGTTATCTTTTCAAGGTGAAGAAGGAGAAGAAGGAGCCATTTTTGGAGCTAGAAGTTGAAGAACAAGTGTGGATCTGAGTTCTACAGTAGTTGGAGATCCCTTCTAAGGTAAAAAGCTCAAAGCTTTCCTTGTTCTTCATAAGTTTTTCTTTTTGGACCATTTCTAGGGTTTTTGGTTCAAAGTTGGAGACTTTGTGTGCAAAGAGTCTCCATGAGCTTAGATCTAAACTTTTCTAGTGTATATTGTGTTGAGGATTCATAAAAATCCAGTCTTGGACGTGGATCTTGTGTCATGCATGAGTTATAGTCTCATTATGGAAAGAGGAAAGGTGTTTTGAGCACAAAGTGACCTTTACAGCCATGCAAAGGCTTAAAGCTTTCAACTTTATGGATTAAGTCATATTAGAGGAGTCAGATATGAAGTTGGATGCAAGTCTTAACCGATTAAGACCTGAATGAGATGGATAAGGAAACTGGGCATTACGCTGGGTGTAATCCCAGTACGCACGGTGTAAGGGGCTGCGTACCCCAAATCTGTGAAGGCTCCGGGTACACTCAGCGTATACGTTTGGTACGCGCAGCGTAACCCAGAGGGTTGACTTTTGTTGACTTTTAGGGTTTGGTTAACTTTAGTGTAATTGAGCCAAGTAAGGGGTAAAATGGTCTTTTACCTTCCTGAGAGTGATTAGAGGGAATGGTCTAGCCTAGGCAAATGTGTTAATGTTGAGTGTTATTTCATATGATTAGCCGAAGGCTAGATCTTATCACACGGAGTCCGAGATTTCTGAGATTTACGAGTTACTAAGCTACACGAGGTGAGTCTTCTCACTATACTGTACCTGGAAGGGTACCTATATGTGACCGGAATGTCTGGTATGCTATAAGATATATGCATTGTATGCTATTAGTTGCCTGTTTTGTATGCGTTATGTATGCTATGCTTGATATGGGCCGGAAGGCATTATGATATAGGTCGGAACGCATTATGATGTAGACCAAAAGGTCAGGGAGTTATGGACCGGAAGGTCAACACAGGTAGGACCGGAAGGTTTATTGGGTTAGGACGGAAGTCCCCTGAGACACATGGACCGGAAGGTCATGGTCTGGAAGGGTGTATGTGTGTAAGTGGTATATTAGGGAACTCACTAAGCATTTATGCTTATAGTTATTGTGCTATGTGTTTCAGGTACTAGCGAGGACCGTGGGAAGGCGCCGACATGACTCGTACACACACACACACACGGGCGGATTTGGATATAATTGTTCTTGGGATTTGACATGTTTTGTATTATGAATATGTTACATTGGATTTTATGGTTTGTCTTGAATGAAATTATGTTTTAAAGAAATGAAAATTTGTTTTGAAAATTTACGTTGTTACAAGATGGTATCAGAGCCTTGGTTTGAGGGACTTGGATGCACCTTTGGGCGTATCTAAACTCAAACTGAGGATTTGAGAAATTTTCAACAATAAAAGAACCAAAATTTCTAAAAGAGCAAGGAGTTTTGAAACAAACAGAGCAGAGCAGTGTGTACGGTCAGCCAGTGCCCGAATGGTGAATCCCTAAAATACCCTTACATTATGTATTATGAGATATGCTATGTTATGTTATGCATGCTAGAGTAGGCTAGGTATTCATGTTAGGACTAGAGTGGCTTGATTTGTGATGCCTTAGCCTAGGAGATTTCTGCTGCTATGAGATGCCTTGCGAGCGAGTAGGTAGCCAATGCATAACGAGAATAGAGTACTTGTGATCCGGGATCCAAGGAGGAGGACTTGGGGTGAATACTGATACGGTGTGGTCAGTAGTATAGGGCCCGTACTACTAAAGACACCAGATCAGTGAGCAGCCGAAGTAAGAATCTTTTGGGTATTGGAGGACAAGAAGGGTAGCATTATCGAGTGCGAGTATGTTCAGTTGAGTGTCTGATATTTTTATGTTGTATTTAAGAGGCATCATGGTTAGGACACGACACACACCTGAGAGCAGTGGGGTCAGTGACAAGGAGATCTGTCGATTGATTCATGAGAAGGTGGTTGCTTCCATTTGAGCTGAGATTCCAGAGATCTTTAGGGACATCAAGACCACACTGATTGAGACCTTTGACGAGCGGTATGTAGCGGTGACTGAGGTTGCAGCTGCTGCCAGACCTCAGGGAGGTGACACGTTGTTGTTTCAGGAGTTCAGCAACACGAAGCCACCAGAGTTCGATGGGATGCAGGACCCGATTGCTGCGATGAGATGGATCTTTGACATTGAGGGATGTTTCTATACGTGTTCTTGTCCAGAACACTTGAGGGCGCGGTTCGCTTTAAACTAGCTTCGCTTGGGAGTGAAGGATTGGTGGAAGTTCGTGACGGCGAGCTTCACTCTTGCAAAGATTTCAGCGATGGCCTGGGAGAGGTTCATTACCACGTTCAGAGATGAGTATGTTCCCCCGGTGGAGAGGGAACGGTTGGTTTAGGAGTTCTTGACCCTCAAGCAGGGTAATGATTCGGTTACTGTGGTTACCCGGAAGTTTCATAAGAGGGCGATGTTCTACCCTGAGCAGGTGTCTACTGAACAGGCACGAATGAGCCAGTATTTGGGTATTTTGAGGAGGGACATTCGAGAGTTCGTGTCGAACTCGACGCATCGTACATTTGCTGAGCTTCAGGAAAATTCCTGGAAGTGGGAGATCGAGTTGGA